CTCTGGAGGCATCACTGGGCTTCACTGTGGGGGTGCGAGTGGCACACCAGTCTGGGACTTGGCAGTGCACTGTACCCTGGTGCTTCTGACCTGCTGTCCTGCAGGGATCCCCTCCTGCCCCTGCCACACCTGTGAGAGCATTTTTCACATTTAGACCTCCTTATACTTGTGGGCAAACCTTGTCTCTCCAGCTCAAAAGGGAAGGAAGAGAAGGCCTGTAGGTCATCTCCTCCCTGCTCCTGCTGGTGGCAGGTTGGGAGGATGGAGGGGCTAGGGTGCCTTTGCTCCTGTGTCTGGTCTGAGAGGGCTGCCTGGCCTTAGGCTTGTCACTCCGGACATACTCAGGCAGCCCCAGACACCATCCATCCTTCCCTGGCTCCAGGGAGTTTCTTCTTGCCCTTTGGGCTCACAGTGGTATTTGCGCCCTGTAGTTGCTAACCCGTGACAGTCCCTTCATTAACATCTCCGAGGTCCTAGCCCAGTGTACCTTCTCAGTACACTGGTCTGTTTAACTTACCTTTTATTCTGGTAAAGGCAACATCATTTTCTTGCTGTTTCCTTATCTAAGTGAATCTTACTGGATTCTAAAATATGTGAATTTGGGGGTACATGTGACAGGGTCTTGCTCTGTTACCCAGGCTGGACTATTAACTCCTGGGCTCAAGCCATCCTCCCAGCTATGTTTTTGTTTTTTGAGACAGTCTCACTTTGTCACCCTTGGTAGAGTGCTGTGGTGTCATAGCTCATTGCAACCTCAAACTCTCCTCTTTCCTCAGCCTCCAGAGTAGCTGGGTCTACAGGCGCCTGCCACCACGCGCAGTAATTTTTCCATTTTTGTTAGAGATAGGGTCTTACCTCTTGCTCAGGTCTTGAACTCCTGAGCTCAAGTCATCCACCCACCTTGGCCTCCCAGTGTTAGCATTACAGGCGCGAGCTACCACTCCAGGCTCTTGGATGAGTTTTTGATGGGAGGCGATGTCCAGGTCACCTCCAAGAAGAGCGTGCTAAAGGTCACACAGGCAGCCTGTGGCATGATGGTTGCCACACGAAGGGCTGAAGCAAAGGGTCTGCCCTCTCTGGAGGGCACAGAGATGGGGCACAGCGGGGACAGAGCATGGACCCAGCTCCTCTGCTGCCTCACCTTATTTTGGAGTGAGCTGTGAGCTCAGGCCCTTCAAACATTCCCTCCCTCAAGCCACTACCTCCTATTTCCCCTTTCCTACAGAAGGTTCTAGGACCTAGGAGACAGGAAAATGTGACTAAGACAGAGGTGCTATTTGGCTCTCATTCCCTGCCTTTGAAGAACCAGTGTTACCTGGATGGCCTCCCCTCCCCATAACTGTAAAGATACAAGTATGTCAGCTTACAGGGAAAAGACCTTCAGGGTTTTTCTCTTCCCCATGCCCAGTGACCTACACCCCAGCCAGGGCAGCTCCTTTGCCGGGAGGGGCTTCCCCGTAGTGAGGAGGCGGCCTTCTCCCTCCCCTGCCCACTCTTTCTCCTGAATGTAGTGGGGCCTCGGTCCAATGCCAGGGGAGGAACAACATAGTTGATTTTTTCTAACCTTGCCATGGAGGGCAAGAACAGTGGTATAAGGGCGGGCGGGGTGGGAACTGGCTCCTGTCCCTCCTTCTCAGTTCTGGGTGAGGCGGGAGCTGGGAGGTGGGCCTGAGGGTAGTGTCTGCCATTATTCTTTTCGTCCAAAATAAAAGAAAGAACATTTCCAGTATTTTTGTTCCCTTTTTCATTTCTGTTCTATTTAATATTTCATTTCTTCTGTTTCTTTGATCTTCTAACTTGTTCTTCTATTTTCTTAAGGTAGAAGCTGGCTGGGCATGGTAGCTCACACCTAGTCCTAGCACTCTGAGAAGCCAAGGCAGATTGATTGCTTGAGCTCACGCGTTTGAGACCAACCTGAGCAAAATCCAGACCCCGTCTCTACTAAAAATAGAAAAATCTGAGGCAAGAGGATCACTTGAGCCCCAGTGGTAGGTTGCTGTGAGCTACGATGCTACAGTGTTCTTTTACCCAGTGTGACAGCTTGAGACTCTAGAAAAAAGGTGGAAGCTAAAGCCACTGAAACTTTTATCCTTCTCTTTTTTTTTTTTCTTAAGGCTGGGTCTCCTCCTCTGCTACCCAGGCTAATGTGCAGTGGCATCTTCATAGCTCGTAGCAACCTCAAACATCTGGGGGGCTCAAGTGATCATCCTGCCTCACCCTCCCAAGCAGCTGGGACCATAGGCAGGTGCCACCACCTGTGGCTAATTTTTCTATTTTTAATAGAGAATGGTCTCTCGGCTTTTACTCAGGCTGTTCTCAAATTCCTGAGCTTAAGTGATCCTCCTGCCTTGGCTTCCCACAGTGCTAGGATTACAGGTGTACGCCACCGTGCCCCATCTCCTCTTTCTAATATAGGTGCTTCATGCTATAAAATTTCCAAGTACTGACTTAGCTACGTACCACAAACTCTGATATGTTGTGTTTTCATTTCCAGTTAGTTCAAAATAGCCTGTAAATTTGTCTAACTTACAGGTACTGAGCTGCATGTTACTTAGCTTCCATATAGTTAAAAAACAAGTATCTTCTTGTTACGGAATTTCTTTCTTTTTTTTTTGAGACAGAGCCTCAAGCTGTCCCCCTGGGTAGAGTGCCATAGCATCACAGCTCACAGCAACCTCCAAATCCTGGGCTCAAGCAAGTCTCCTGCCTCAGCCTCCCGAGTAGCTGGGACCACAGGCACCTGCCACAACACCCGGCTATTTTTTGGTTGCAGCTGTCATTGTTTGGTGGGCCTGGGCTGGATTTGAACCCGCCAGCTTAGGTGTATGTGGCTGGTGCCTTAGCCGGTGAAGCCACAGGTGCCAAGCCTTGTTACTGACTTTCATTACTATTGTTACTGATTTCTGAAATACTTTTGTGTATCAGACTTTGTATACATATGTTAAGTCTTGCTTACTGGCTCACTAGAACATTGGGTGACTTGAAAAGAATGTACTGGCTCGGCGCCTGTGGTTCAAGCGGCTAAGGCGCCAGCCACATACACCTAAGGTGGCGGGTTCGAATCCCCAGCCCAGGCCCGCCAAACAACAATGATGGC